ACGCATGTGCTCCTGTCAGCACCAGAAATAAAAGTAGTGGCTGTAGGGCAATAAGTTGTGGTGGATAAAAATGTATTCATTGATATAAGACCACCAACATTTGCACGAATTTTTTCTAATTCACCTATATCCAGTTTTGGTTGTCCACGATAAACAATCAATGGGAAGTTAAGTGTTCCATCATCTATCTGTTGTTTATACAGCTGTTTCAATTGAATCGTAAGATCTTTGATAATCGAATGAAATGAAATAATCGTACCATTATTCAGCATTCGACAAGCTTTGTTTAATACACGAAAGAGAAACGAATCACGTGTATACCAAGTAAGCGCATTATCTGATGTATAGTTTTCTTTAAAATCATCAATATCGCTTGGTTTCAATTCAATCCTTTCCTTAATGTCTTCTTCCTCTTCCAGTTGATAACAAGCTTCTGTAATATCTTTGTTGGTTGTTAAAGAACGAGGAATATCCAGAACTACATTGAGCATAAACTGATGCCACAAAAATCTTTTTTTGTCTTCATTTAGATCATGAAGTGAGTATTCTTTCGAATCTTTATTAAATAGAGTAAATGGTATATCGGATAGGAACCAAGAATTGCTTGTATTCATCGATGATATTATTATTGTCGCACAGTGCTTTACGTCTTTTATAGAAAAAATTTGTAATTCATTACCTTTCCAACTTAAGATATAATAAAGATAAGAAAAGTTTCAAACATTATTTTCTCTTTCTCTTCAAACACTGACAAACGACAAAAAGCAAATTTTATCACGTTCTCTCCATCACCTGTATGGTTAGTTGAAGGTAACACACATCACTCTGTTTGATGTTATCAACCTAAGAAAAGAAAGAGACAACTGCTATAAATAACATTTTATTAAATATTTATTTCAAACAGAAATAAAAACAGAAGAGATTCAAGCTTTCGTGCCCTATCTGGTGCAGGGTATGGGTGTGGGTTTTGATGAAAAGGACACCCATAGCCACACCCACACCCACCCACACCCACACCCACTATCGAAAATGAAACTCAAAAAGTCTCAAATGGTGATGGATGAATATTTTCGATTT